GAAGAAGAAGAAGAAGAAGAAGAAGAAGAAGAAGAAGAAGAAGAAGAAGAAGAAGAAGAAGAAGAAGAAGAAGAAGAAGAAGAAGAAGAAGGAGAAGAAGAAGAAGAAGAAAACCTGCCTGCTGAGCTTAGTTAGCAGAGCCCTTCAACTCCACCCAGAGATTAGGAAAGAAGGCACGAAAGCAAAGGATTCGGTTAGAATATTATCCAGCACCAAAAAAACCCCAACATTTAAAAAAAAGATTTTTATCAGTGTTGACTCCATTTAAAATCAACGCAAAAGGGGAGATCCGGAGATGGTCAATTTTGGGGAGTTAAAAAACAGAAGGAGGATTATTCACCTGCTAAGCCACAGACCGAAATTCTTACCTTCAGAGCAGAGCCTACTGGTCTCGTTGGCTTAACCGTGGCTTATCAAATAAACCCAGTTGGCTGGTATCACACCAAGTTCTGACCATCCTCAAATAGGTGGATGGTTACCATGGTTAGGCTGGTCCAACAGACCAAGCTCCGAACGAGCTGACAGCCTCTCTTAGGATTGAACTGACCATCACGCTCCTTTCTGATTTACGCACATCATAACCCTGCAAGGTAGGCTAAAGAGACAGCACTGAAGCAAAGCCACCCACTGAGTTTGCAATTAAAGCAGGCTCTCCTTGATGTGGTGTCTAGATCCATCTAGATTTTTCAAAGAATCTCGATCTAGGTTTCCCCCCCCCCAAGAGATCTAGAAAATTTCCTTGCTTGGCTGACAAAAAAAAAAACAGCATTTTTTCCCGAGATGGAACTCCAATTGATGGGGGGGGGAAATATTATCTCTCTCCTGCAGCATCTTGCCGAGCAATGAAGCGACTATTTTTTCCTCACCTCTTTTAGAACAGATCCTAAAAATAACAGTCCCATTTTGCAATCTAATGAACCTTTATGCACTAATGAAGACTATTCAATTGCTTTGTAAAAACCAGCACGGGTTATGCGGTTGCAAGCTGGAAAAGCTGCAGATTGCTTAGAGACACCCATGAGGGGGTGTAAAAATGTTACAAATATATTCATAAATAAAAGCTTAAGTACCCAGAGACACAAACATCCCTTCCCCAAAATGACTGCAGCTGATCAAAACTCGAGCTGATCAAAGCCTGAACACTGATAAGAGAAAAAGGACAGCCAGTCCTAGAATAGGAGAGTCTTTGACTACATTGAATCAGTTGCTCTCAGGATCTCAAGATGTTATCCAGAGATGAACTTACTGTCACATCTCTGCATGAATTTTGAAACAAAGAAGGCCAGACCAGATATCAACCAGTAGATAAATCCCACCACAACTGTGCATTCAGCATCACTCAAAGCATTGGGTTTATGCCAGTGGACAACTGTAGAAGAAGAGGAGAAGTGATCACCAATGTGGCTCTAGAATCATGTGGATCTCAGCTCCTTGGACACAAAGGAGTTAGGAAACCCATGCAATGGACCTCCGAAGGACAGCAAAACCATCTAGAAGCTTTATGGCTGCTCTGTTCTAGATCACCAACGTGGTTATGGAACCCATATGGACCTCCGAAGGACAGCAAAACCATCTAGAAGCATTATGGCTGCTCTGTTCTAGATCACCAAGGTGGTTATGAAACCCATGCAATGGACCTCCGAAGGACAGCAAAACCATCTAGAAGCTTTATGGCTGCTCTGTTCTAGATCACCAACGTGGTTATGGAACCCATATGGACCTCCAAAGGACAGCAAAACCATCTAGAAGCATTATGGCTGCTCTGTTCTAGATCACCAAGGTGGTTATGAAACCCATGCAATGGACCTCCGAAGGACAGCAAAACCATCTAGAAGCTTTATGGCTGCTCTGTTCTAGATCAGCCTCCTTGCAGATGTGTTGACCTTTGCGCCAGAGTTCCCAAAGAGATCTAAGGGTATGATTGGGTCTACTGGCAACCCCTTCCCTACGGAATGGAGGAAACTTTTCCATGTTAAGAGTCTCTCAGAAATCATTCTTCGATTTTGCCTTGAAAAAGAATTGACCTATGGCTGGTCAAAATGTATCAGTAACTCCAATACAGACAGACGTGGGAGGTTTGAGGGCTTTTTAAACCAGAATAGAATAGAATAGAATAGAATAGAATAGAATAGAATAGAATAGAATAGAATAGAATAGAATAAGAATTAGAATAAAATAGAATAGAATAGAATAGAATAGAATAATAAGAATAGAATAGAATAATAAGAATAGAATAGAATAGAATAGAATAGAATAGAATAGAATAGAATAGAATAGAATAGAATAAGAATTAGAATAAGAATAAGAATAAGAATTAGAATAGAATAGAATAGAATAATAAGAATAGAATAGAATAGAATAAGAATAAGAATAAGAATAAGAATAAGAATAGAATAGAATAGAATAGAATTAGAATTAGAATTAGAATAGAATAGAATAGAATAGAATAGAATAAGAATAAGAATAGAATAGAATAGAATAGAATAGAATAGAATAGAATAGAATAGAATAGAATAGAATAGAATAGAATAGAATAGAATAGAATAGAATGGGACCTTGGAGGTCTTCTAGTCCAGCTCCCTGCTCAAGCAGGAGAACCTATATCATTTCAGACAAGTGACTGTCCAGTCTCTTCTTAAAAGTCTCCAGTGATGGAGCGCCCACAATTTCTGAAGGCAATTTCTGTTCCACTGGTTGATTGTCCTCACTGTTAGGAACTTTCTCCTTAATTCCAGGTTAAATAATAACACAACTGGCACGGGCTCTCACAATGGCAAGCAACTCAAAAGTTAGCTTACCCTGATTCCAACTTCCATCCTTTATTGGAACAATCAGCTTCCATCTTCTACCACCTGGAAGCCAACATCTAAGAACCCGATTCAGCAGCTAGGAGAGCAGGGACACCAAAGTCCAGGGCAAAATTGAGCAGATCTTAGCAACGTTCTAGCCAAGAACATTGTTTAGAGAGAGGCAGAGATAGAAAACAACTCAGAAAGCAAAGCTATCCCCTTGTAGCTTCCATACCTTCTTCTCAAATACATTTCTGAGTTCTCCATCACGTCTATAAATTCCTTGGGGAAATATCAGCTCATCATGGTTACAGCATGCGATTTATTCAGCTTCAAGCACAATGGATGAAGGAATATTTTAACATACATCTGCCGAGAAATATGCAGGTAGTCCTCGGCTTACAACCACAACTGAGTCCAAAATTTCGGCTGCCAAGCGAGACAGTTGTTAAGTGAGTTTTGCTGCCGTTTTACGACCTCTTTTTGCCACAGGTGTTAAGAGAATCCCCGCAGTTGTTAAGTTAGTAACACAGTTGTTAAGTGAATCTGGCTACCCCTTTGACTTGGCTTGTCAGGTCACAAAAGGTGATTACATGGCCCCAGGACAAGCCAACCGTCATAAATATGAAGCAGTTGCCAAGCTTCACACATGATCATATGACCACGGGGGTGCTGCAACGGTCGTAAGTGTGAAAAACGGTCCTAAGTCACTTTTTTCACTGCCATTGTCACGTCAAACAGTCACTAAATGAACTGTTGTAACTTGGGGGACTACCTATATCCGCAGTTATTTTTGACTTAACGTGCACAAGATCGAGCAGTCTCAACAGTTTAGACTTGTGATACCGCTGGTCAGCCTCGGTTTTTCCCTTCTGCAAAATGGAAGCATGCTTTGGGCAACATGCTTTTGAAACGGACTGGGCTTGCAGCCAAAAGCCAACAAGGGCAGGCCAGAATGCTCTTGGTTGGAAAAAAGCCAACCGTGACACTGTTTGTGCCTTCGGCACCCACGTTCCGTTCCTTCTGCAACGCGAATTCCTCAGCATGAAAAAAGTGCAACTTAAAAGGATTGCTTAAAAAAAAAAAAAACCTTCCTTTTTCATGACCAGTGGCCAAACAGAAAAACAGACTCCCCCCCCCCCCAAGCTTGCTAACAAGAAACAACAGGCCAGGGGACTCAAGAGTGCTTCACCTGGTGAATTGCTCCCCATCCTGTTAAAGGCATTCACCCTACAAATCAAGCAGCAACCTTGGGGAGATAGGATCAAGCTCGGATCACAGCAATCCGCTCATGGGCAAAGAAAGGGAAGTGCAGAATCTGACTCAGTCCAAATTTAAAGTTCCCGTAATTTGCAACTACGCCACGGTTGACTATCAAATATCATTTAGCATAGTACTGTTATAGCAAAATGAGTCCCGCCTGAAGAAAAGAACATTTGAACTAGAGCATCAAGAGGACAAGAGAAGGAGGAGGAAGGAAGGAAAGAAGGGAAAAAAGGAAAAAAGGAAGGAAGGGGGAGGGGAGGGGAGGGAAAGGAAAGGAAGGGAAGGGAAAGGGGAGAAGGAAGGAAGGAAGGAAGGAAGGAAGGAAGGAAGGAAGGAAGGAAGGAAGGAGGGAAGGAGGGAAGGAATGAAGGGAAGGGAAGGGAAAGGGGAGGAAGGAAGGAAAGAGAAAGGAGGAGGAGGATGGAAGGAAGGAAGGAAGGAAGGAAGGAAGGAAGGAAGGAAGGAAGGAAGGAAGGAAGGAAAGAGAAAGGAGGAGGATGGAAGGAAGGAACGAACGAACGAACGAAAGAAAGGAGGAAGGAAGGAGGAAAGAAAGAAGGAAGGAAGGAAAGAAGGAAGGAAGGAAGGAAGGAAGGAGGGAAGGAGGGAAGGAATGAAGGGAAGGGAAGGGAAGGGAAAGGGGAGGAAGGAAGGAAAGAGAAAGGAGGAGGAGGATGGAAGGAAGGAAGGAAGGAAGGAAGGAAGGAAGGAAGGAAGGAAGGAAGGAAGGAAAGAGAAAGGAGGAGGAGGATGGAAGGAAGGAACGAACGAACGAAAGAAAGGAGGAAGGAAGGAAGGAAGGAAAGAAGGAAGGAAGGAAGGAAGGAAGGAAGGAAGGAAGGAAGGAAGGAAGGAAGGAAGGAAGGAAGGAAGGAAGGGGAGAGAGGAGGAGAAAGAAACAGAAGAAGAAACTTGAAGCTTAAGCGCCCAACTTCGCAGCCTTACCTCCACCGAGCACGGCCAGCAGCAGCACCGCCGAAGGGCGCAGGCTTCCGCTGAGGCTGGTCCCGGCCGGAGACGAAACCATGGCGCTGCCCCCTTCTCTTTGTCCCATCCTCCAAAGCCCCGCGCCCCCCAAAGTCAGGGCCAGACCGGGCGGGCAGCGAGCCCTGCGCGGGCAGCGGGGGGGCTCCGAGCGCCACCGCCAGCTCTCCGCCCGGCCAGGCTCTCGGCTGGCCCCCCTCCGGGGCACCGTGCCCAGGAGTTCCCGTCCCGGCCGGGCCGGGGGCTGCCCAAACAGACCGAAGTGGCGGCGGCGGCGGCGGGGTCGGCGGGCCGGGCGCCAGCAGGAGAGCAGGCAGGTGGGCGTCGCATCACCTCGCCCCTCGCCAGCAGCTGGTTCGGAAGGAGAATTTGGGGAGGGGGGGGAGAGGCTGTGTTTTCCTCCCAGCCAGCCAGACAGACAGCCCCCCCCTCCCTGATTTTATGCCAGGCTCCAAAAAAAAAGCCCCCCCCCAGGCAGGGTTGGCGTCTTGACACTCTCGCAGCCCCCCCCCGCGCTTCGCCCACCCCCTCGCAATGGCACCGAAGCTTCGCAACGGCGCTCAGAGTAATGGGGAGGGGGGGTCGTTCCTGGGCTCAGGGAGGGGGGGAGGGAGGGGGAGAGCTTAAGAGGGGCGCGGGGGGGCGCTCAGCCCCCCCCCCTTCCGGCTGCTGAGCCCGGGCGCCGAGGCTGCTACCCTCTTCGTGGCGGCGGTGGCGTCGCCTTCCGTGCCGGTCCCATCGCAAGCCAGGCGCGCCCCCGCGCGCTCGCGGGGAGGACGGGAGGGGGGGGGAAAGGGGGTGGGCAGTGCCGGGGGCGGGGGGAGGAAGGGATGCGCGGGGGGAGGCGGGGGGAGGAAGCGTCGGAATCCGAGATGCTCCAGTCTGGGTGGGCTCCCAGCAAAGGCGCGCCGAAGAAGTGATGGGAGAAGGAAGAGGGGAAGAGAAAAAGCGGGGGGGGGGAGGGAGCGCCCCGTTTCTTCTTCTTCTTCTTCTGGCGCAAACTCTGTGCTCAAGACGGAATGGGGGGGGGACGAGGAGGAGGAAGAGGAGGAGGAGGAAGAGCGGCGATTGACAAACTCTGGCAGCCAATCCCTTCGGGGGAGGGGGCGCAGGATGGAGGAGGGGGGCAGCTAGCCTTGGAGAAGGAGGGGGGCCCTCCCCGTCTGCCTTTCGTTCTCTCTCTCTCTCTCTCTATCTATCTATCTATCTATCTATCTTCTCTCCCTCTTTCTCTCTCTCCCCCTCTCTCTGCCCTCTCTCTCTTTCTCCTCTCTCTCTTCTCTCCCCCCCTCTCTTTCTCTCCTTTCTCTCTTTCCTCCCTTTCTCTCTTTCTCTTTCTCCTCTCTGTCTCTTCTCTTTCTCTCCTCTCTCTCTTTCCTCTCTCTCTTTCTCTTTCTCTTTCTCCTGTCTATCTCTTCTCCCCCTCTCTTTCTCTCCTCTCTCTCGCTCTCTCTTTTCTCTCTCTTTCTCTTTCTCCTATCTCTTCTCCCCCTCTTTCTCTCCTCTCTCTCTCTCTCTCTCTCTCGCTCTCTCTTTTCTCTCTCTCTTTCTCTTTCTCCTATCTATCTCTTCTTCCCCCACCCCCTCTCTCTGCCCTGTTCCCCTCGCTCCTTTACAAAAAAAAAAAAAACATCATCTGTTTTTCTTCCTTTTTTAAAAAAGCAAAAGTGGCCGGGATTATGAAATCAAACCGGGATGGAGAAGGGAAGAGTTCGCTTCCTCTTTAGGGATCGCGTCGCGGGGGTCGTGGGGAACGAGAGCGGTGGGGAGGGGGTGGAAGACTAGGGAGAACCAGGATGGTTAGAGCTGCCTCCGTACCGGCCGGCGTTGTTCCTGGGGCTAAGGCACCGACTTGATTAATGACCGTTGGCTGCCATAGCCGGCTGGGTTCGTACCCCCAGACGGAGCTATAAATCACGATTTGCAGCCTGCTGGACTCCCCCCACCCCACCCCTCCGTTCTGAGCCACAAACGAGCGAGGTGTAATAATTGGGCTCAGCACCACTCACTCCGGTTCTGTTCCGGAGTCTCGTTTTAACCATGGTTTGCCAGCTGAGCGAAACACAGCCAGGTTCACTTGTGGCGCTAACCCGGAAGAGAGCCGGTTTTTTAGGCTGTTTTATCCACTACCAGGAGGAGGAAAAAAAAAAAAAAAAAAACGTGTTTTAGCAGCAGGAATGAATGCAGCCTGGGTGAAAAATTAAGAAAATTAAGAGCAAGGAATTTAACTCCTCCCCCCACCACCACCGGATCCAATACAGCCTTGGACTCTAACAGATGCTCCGTTGTGCAGAGAGTCCAACTATGACATAAGCAAAAGGTGCCATAGAGCATGTGCAGAGTGTTGCCTTCAGCATGGAGAGAGACCCTCTCCTCAAGAGGTTGGATGCCCACCGTGCATTTTTTAAAAGTGACTGATGTATAAAAATAGGAAACCAAGGGAATGATGCCCAATGTTCAACGTTATAGGTACAAAATACTTTAGGATGGAAGTTACTCCCCCCCCCCCCCCAGAGTGCACATGGATATAGATAGGTGTCGTATTAATTTGGGGATTAATTCTTCCCCATGAACCTCCAGAAAGATGCGTGTTTATCGACATGAGCTTGTATCAGTTCCTGTGGGTCATGGTTTAAAGGCTTGGCGGGCATTAACATTTTATAGACCCACCCTCCCAAGCTGAAGCTATTTAGGAAGGGCTCATTAAGAATAGATAAATGGCTTTTTGGTCTCTCTCTCTCTCTCTCTCTCTCCCTCTCTCTCTCTCTCTCTCTCTCTCTCCCTCCCTCCCTCCCTCCCTCCCTCTCTCTCTCTCCCCCCCCTTCACAGGACCCGTGAACGGCTAAGGAGGAGAGAACTAGAAACGGTGCCGAAGCAAGAAAGGAAGATCCAAGAGTGGGCTAACCACAAGAGTGGCGAAAATCTGTAGCTCAGATGGAGGATGAGGATGGAGATTCACTCTACAAGCTTGTGGGCTGCTTTCCAAATGTGTTACCAGGCTAGGTAACATCTTCAGCAGAGTTTAGAGCAGGGGTCCCCAACTCCTGGTCTGTGGACCGGTACCAGGCCGTGGCATGCCAGCAACCGGTCCGCACAAACAAGCAAAACCCCATCCATGAGATGCAGGCAGCACACAAAACCACACACCCTCTGGTCTGTGGAAAAACATCTCCACAGAACCAGTCCCTGGTGCCCAAAAGGTTAGGGACCTCTGTCCTAGACCAGGGGTAGGCGACCTTGGCTCTTTTATGACTGGTGGACTTCAACTCCCAGAATTCCTGAGCCAGCCATGCTGAGGGGAAAGGGAGAGGTTTCCAAGATGAGCCATGCTGGCTCAGGAATTCTGGGAGTTGAAGCCCACGAGTCATAAAAGAGCCAAGGTTCCCTACCCCTGGTTTAGGGGATGTCAGTGTCGGTGTTCTGTTTATAAGGGCTTCAGGTATGAGTGTGAAGTGAGGGTCTTGTGATGGGGAAGTTACATCAGGTCAGGACCATTGGGAGGTGAACTGCTGGTGGAAGGGAAGGGGCTTGCGTGGACTGGTTGAGGGTCAGTGCTGTCTCTGGTTGGCTCTGTGGTTGATTTGGATCCTGACAGGTTCGTAGGCTGGTTGTGGGTCAATGTGTCTGTTGATGGAATTCCTTGTGGAGTGCCAGCCTTCGACGAACTCAGGAGCGTGGCGGGTGGTAGCGTGGCCAATGATTCTTGTGTTGCTCCAATCAAACTGGTGCTGTTTGGTGTCAGTGTGTGTAGAGATTAGAAGAGCACCGCTGAAGAGGTTACCTAGCCTAGTAACAAAACGTTGGGAAACCAACCCACAAGCTCAGAGAACGGACCTCCACCCTCACTGGGCTGACCCTTGAGGAAAGAAAAGGACTGTGGAAGACAGGAGAAACGAGGGCCTGGAAAGTCAAGGGAAGAATTTTTGGTTTGATTGAGGAATTTGTAGGACTTTTGGGGAGCGCTTGACCTCAGGGTTTGATGATTGTGGTCTAGCAAAGAAAATTTCCTAAGGTTTCACCAGTGACTCTGGCTGGCATCTTCAGTGAAAATTTCCTGAGGTTTCACCAGTGACTCTGGCTGGCACCTTCAGTGAAAATTTCCTGAGGTTTCACCAGTGACTCTGGCTGGCATCTTCGGTGAAAATTTCCTGCGGTTTCACCAGTGACTCTGGCTGGCATCTTCAGTGAAAATTTCCTGCGGTTTCACCAGTGACTCTGGCTGCCATCTTCAGTGAAAATTTCCTGAGGTTTCACCAGTGACTCTGGCTGGCATCTTCGGTGAAAATTTCCTGAGGTTTCACCAGTGACTCTGGCTGGCATCTTCGGTGAAAATTTCCTGAGGTTTCACCAGTGACGCTGGCTGGCATCTTCGGTGAAAATTTCCTGAGGTTTCACCAGTGACACTGGCTGGCATCTTCGGTGAAAATTTCCTGAGGTTTCACCAGTGACTCTGGCTGGCACTTTCAGTGAAAATTTCCTGAGGTTTCACCAGTGACTCTGGCTGGCACCTTCAGACCACAGGCAACTGAACCGGGGCTGACTGGGTTCCTGTCTTTATAGCCAGATGTGCTGATTTCTGATTGCTCTGTAGCCGAGCTAGTTTCCGATTGGTGCAGGTTGGTGAGGTCTCCCCTCTGATTGGTTCTTTGTTCAAATGTAGGACTGTTGGCCAAATCTAAGCCAAGATCTTTAAAAGTCTTAGCTTCGCTTAAAAGGTTAACATTCAACTTTTCAAGCTGAATTCAGTCCTTATTGAAGAGATCCATAATGTTTTTCTGGGCTGGGAAAATGTCTGGCATTTACGTTTTTTTCAGGATTGATTGGTTGATTGGATTTTTAAGGCCACCTAATTGCAAAGAACTCTGGGCAGCTTCTATATATTTCAGATACATAACTGAAAAATATCTGTTCTAACAAGAAAGGAAGAAGAAGAGAAGATGTACAAGGTACTTCAGTACAAGCCTGCATGCAACTTTATCTTTATTTATTAGATTGTTATCCTGTCTTTATTACTTTATTAGTAGCTCAAGGTGGCAAATATACCTAATACCCCTTCCTCCTTCAATTTTTCCCACAACAAGCCTATGCGGTGGGTTGGGCTGAGACAGAGGGGCTGGCTCAAGGTCAACCAGCTGACTTTGATGGCTAAAGCAGGACTAGAACTCACCAACTCCTGGTGATTGGCCCAAAGTCACCCAGCTGCCTTTCATTATCTAAGGAGGGACTAGAACTCACCGACTCCTGGTGATTGGCCCAAAGTTACCCAGCCGACTTTCATGCCTAAGGCGGGACTAAAACTCACCGACTCCTGGTGATTGGCTCAAAGTCACCCAGCCAACTTTCATGCCTAAGGCGGGACTAAAACTCACCGACTCCTGGTGATTGGCTCAAAGTCACCCAGCCGGCTTTCATGCCTAAGGCGGGACTAGAACTC